TTTTTTTTTTTTTTTGTCTCCTATATACTTAAAAAAAAATAATTTTTGATTATTTAAAAAATTTATAATTGTAAAATTTGTAAGTTTAAAAGTTAACTACTGGCACATGTTTTGCAATTCTTGATGGTTTTTGTTTGGTACCACAAATTCAAAAGCCTTGAAGTTAAAATATTATACTTCTGCAGGAGAGCAAATCCAAGTTTCTAAGGAAAATAGTGCATATGGATGGGGGTGGTAGAAAACCTGTATTCCTCTTATGGAATGTTTATGAAAAATGTTCCTTTCAAACCAACATGTTTCCCCATATGGGGAGCAGGTTGCAGCAAAGATGCTGTTGAGTAGACAGGGAGAGAGGCAGTCTGCCATCTGGGTCGCGGGCAACTGCCAGCCACGGATGCTGAGGGCATCATTAAGCTCAGACGCTCAGGAATGTTCCGGAAAACAGGAGAACATTCATTATACCTTATAGGAGAATCTCTGAATAATTACAGACCTGAGTTGTGGTATGGTTTTGAGAAAAGGATAGTTTAAGAAACTGTTCTACAGCTACTTAAAGGGACAAGGGGGTGATTTGCTTTCAAATCGAGTTTGTTTAGCAAGAGCCGAGGCCAAGATGAAACCACAAGTATTTTTACATTAAGGGACCCTCTAGCATCTAAATCATGGCAATTCGCAGAGGATAAATGTATCGAGTATCCAGGAGAGTAAGAACTAACAAAAAGCAGCTATATGATTTTCTCCATGCACTGTTAGACCTAATTTGGGTAGGAAAGGAGATAGTTATAAAACGAAACTCCCAAGCATTGAGCACTCCGATGGTGTCCATCCTGCCCAGGCTGGTCACTGTTACATGTAACTGCAGCATGGTAAACTGAAAAGACAAGAGATGATGGGACCAAAGAGACCTGGGTTTGACTCCTAGTTTCTCTGCTGACTATCTGACCTTGTGCAAGTCATTTCACCTCACTGAGCCTCAGTTTTCTCACATGAAGAATGGGACTAATAATGGCTGTTGTGAGGTTCAAACAGAATAATGTATATAAGAGTACTTAGCTCAATGCCTTGGAGGGAAGGAAATCTGTTTTATTTTTAAATGTTTTGTTGTTAAACAGTAAACAATGCATTTTTGCTGAGAGGGAATGACAATTAAATTTAGGAGAGGAATATTAAAATGCATGCTGTTTAAATTTTAAATTTTGTAGCATAATGTCTTATCGTAACAGAGCTATAGTGGCTTAACTGTTCTAATATATTTCCTAATGTGGGATATGAGGATCACTGCTCATTTAGATGACTTTAGGCAATACAGGAATAAATACCTTATGTAAAATATACATTTTATTTAGTTTGCTTTAACCTGATGTGGTCTTTCAGTCTTCCTTTCTCCCTCTTGTGATTATCTATCTGCTTGATCTTAAATTCTACCACTTTGGTAGAAAATTCTGTCTGTCCTCTCTTTTCCAGGCTGAGAATCAAAGCATGCAAACTAACTAGATACTGACACACAGCTCAAAAATGATTCCCAAAGACAAAACCCATTTGGTCCATCCTTGCCTGCATGTATTGGGTAATCTATCACTTGACTTGTTCAAAACTCCACGACTTTGTAAAATACTACTACTACTTACAGTGGGTTTATTGCACCCATGGCCCTCTAATTCCATTTACCCAAATAAGCCCTAACACACTCTGTTACCTGTTACTGGGGTAAAGTAAGTAGTAAAACTATGATGTTATTAACAGGTGCTCTGGTAATGGGAGCATAGGGAACTCTGAGCCTCCCGAGTGCAGAACAGCTATGGTGGGTAATGAACCATAGGAGAGTTGGTAGTTCTCTTACTGACACTTGCTTATATCAAGGATACCTGTAAGATTAAAAGCAAGTTTGAAAACATTGTAATAGATTATTGAGGTAAAATTGACATTAAATAAACCTCATGTTTTTAAAGTGCAAAATTTTAAAACTTTTGACATTTATAGACACTCATGATTCTATCACTACATTCAAGATAGTGAGCAGACCCATTTTCCCCAAAGTTTCCTAGTATCCATTCATAATCTGTCTCCTGATGAATGCCATGACTAGGTAACCAGTAATCTGCTTTCTGTCACCTTAGAGCAGTGCTATTTTCTAGATTTTATATAAATTAAATCATATATTTGTGGACTTTCTATTTGATTCACTAATCATAATTATTTTTATATTCCTCTAGGTTGTTGAGTGTATCAATACTTCATTTTTTATTGCTAGTTAGTACTTCATTGTATGAATATACTATGACTTGTTTACTCATTCATCTGTTGATGAACATTTGTGTTTGAAGTTTCAGTATATTATAAATAAAGCTGTTATGAACATTTGTGTATAAGTCTTTGTATGGACATGAGCTTTTTTGTTTCATGTAAATACCTAGGAATAGAATGGCTGGGTCATATGGCAGGCAATATGTTTAACTTTTTAAGAAACTGCCAAATTGTTTTCCAAAGTGGTGTAGCATTTTACATTGCAACCAGCAATATATGAAACTTCTACTTGCTCCACATCTTCTCCAACATTTGGTATGGTCAACCTTGTAAATTTTAAACATTTTAATATATGTATAGTGGTATTTCATTGTGGTTTTAATTTGCATTTCCCTAATGACTAATCATGGTGAGAAAATTCCCATGCTCCTATGTGTGATCAATTTCTCTTCTCTGGTGAAATGTCTGTTCAAATCTCTTGCCCATTATAAAATTTGTTTTTTCTCATTACTGACATTTGAGTTATTTATTCTATAATCAAATCTTTTTTCAGATATATGATCTGCAAATATAATCTCAGTCTGTGGAGAGAAAATATTTTCTTTTCCTATTCCTAGTAGTGTTTTTCCCCAAAGAACAGAAATTCTTAATTTTAATGAAGTCTAATTTAACACTTTTTTTCTTTTATAGATCATGCTTTGGTATGACACCTAAAAAAAAAATTCTTCACCTAACCAAAGTTCACAAAGTTGATCTATGTTTTCTCCCTAATGAACTCAGTAAAAGAAAAAGTCAAATGCATTTAGTTCTGAATTTTCATAACATAATGTGGGCTGAGAAAGTTGAATTATCAAAATCACTTCATTTCTGTAGCTGTGAAATAGTAAGGAAGAAAATAAGACCTAGCAACTGATTGTGGCTTAAAAAGTAAAAACTCCTTAAGGTGAAGGGATTATGAAGTATGAATTGGTGGTTACGAAATAGTCACAGGGATGTAAAGTACAGCGTGGGGAATATAGTCAATAATATTATAATAACTATGTATAGTGCCAGGGGGGCACTTGAAATATTGGGGAGATCATTTTGTAAAGTATATGACTGTCTAAGCAGTGTGTTGTACACCTGAAACTAATACATGGTAATGTTGAAAATAAACTGTAACTGAAAAAATAAAATTTATAAAACTTCTTAAACTTTCTTTATAATAGTTCTAAGGTCTAAGCAAATTGCTTATAATTTTTAAAGTAAAGGCATAATTTGAAATGGACGCAAATTGTTCCAAATATTTTAGGAATGTGTTAGATCCTATTGCTGTTCCTCTCTAGTAGACACTCTTACACCTGGAATTTGATGCAAAAGTAAATGTTTATTGGTTATTTCTTATTCGAGTGGCTTATACATGTAGCACTGAACTCTGAAAAGTTTTATCTGTATAATACTGATAACTGAGATGTGTTGCTTATTAGAAAACAGAAGTAGAATACCCAAATATACCTGTCATATTTGTCATGCATTCTGTATACCGAGTGGGACAAAGTCAACCGAGTTTTTCTTCCATAGTATATGGGAAGAAATCCCAAGTGCTTGCCTCGAGTACTCAGTTTACAAGTGGGATCTCAGTGCTCCTGCAGCACCCCTCTCCGAGGGAGCCGTCAGAGCCCACCCAGGGCGAAGCTGGGCCTGCCCGCGTCCCCCTCAGCTCCGTCACCCTAACCAGCAATGGCAGCCATCGGCCAGAGGACACCCCCAGGAAGGCTTCACCGACTTCCATCCAGTGTTTGTACAATCAGGTTCGGGAATTTCAAAATGTTCAACCGTCTTCCTGTGATTCTGAGAGCAACTGTTGTACAAAGCAAGCTTAGCGGAGACGTCTCCCTCTCTTTTATCTTTACAGAGCTTGCAGTTAAGAAACATAAAGCTGAGAATTTTTCCTATTCACATAAAAATTATTTATTACAGAAGTTAACCACCAATCAGTCCTACAGCCTATCTAAACAAATTACAGTGCTGGCTGGAAACAGATAGAAATGATCAAGGGTCCAAGTCTGATATTAGGATCAGCACTAAAAAGCCAGTTTTGTTAGGAGTTCAATCTTTAGACAGGAATTTATGTAGCACTCGACCAAAAACTGTGTGGCATGTGATCTACTTACCCCTGCAAGGCTTTCTCTCCAAACCAATCTCCTTTTCCTAAAGTCCTAAGAAAGACTGGGTCTTCGCTTGGGGAGTCTTCACGAGTGACGTTTACCTGCAGAGAGAAACAGCGAGAGTCTACATCCACCGCACACCCTGGATGATCCAGTGAACACTAATTCAGAATGTTAATTCCGTCTCTTGTGTTTTTATTTTGTTTTGAATTCACTTATATGAGGAAAACAAGCATATTATCACTAAAGGGGCCAAAGAAATGACCTCCAAATATTTTTTTTATACTTTCAAGTTGTTTTCAAGAAATAGTATTCAGAAATTGGAATTTCACTTAACCTTAACCTTTATTTCCATTTCCTACGTCCTATGAGGCAACCATTATAATAAATCTAGTGGCCATTCCTCCAGCCCTTTTTTACGCATTTATCTGCATGTGTTTTTAAAATATATGAATAGCGTAATATGGTATATATCATTCTGTGACTTACATTTGTTCTCTTAATACTCTTTTAATTATTAGTCCATGCAATTAGGTATAAATATAGTTCACCCATTGCCTTCTTGTACTCTGCACATATACTTATTTATCCATTTCCATGGACATAGGCATTTATGGTGCTTCCTTTTTTTTTTGCTGCAGTCAACACCTTTCTACACACTTCTACATGGACATCCCATTTCTCTAGGACATATTCTCTCCTTTAAGAAAACCCAGTTTCTTAACTGGGTGACTCAGTTGGTTAGAGCATCATCCTGGACACCAAAAGGTTGCGGGTTTGGTTCCCAGTTGGGGCACTTACAGAAGGCAACCAATCGATGTTTCTCTCTCCTCTCTCCCTTCCTCTCTCTAAGACCAATAAAACCATATCCTTGGGTGAGGATTTAAAAAAGAAAAATCCAGCCTTCATTGGCAGGCCAGTCACATTTTTATGAAGTCTTCCTGTAGGTCTCTGACTATAGTCTTCATGTCCTCACAATCCACATTCACCAGGATATCTTATTTAAAAGATATGGAAATTACAAATATGCCCTTTAAAAATCATAACAAATGATATGATCTTGAAAGAAATGGATATTTCTTTGGCAGTCTCTACAATTTAGAATAAGCATATAATAAAGAGGTATAAATTGAACAGAAAAGCTTCCTTACTAACAAGTTATCTTGGCCCATATAGAACTTATGACTTGAGTTGTAGTCCACAGAAGGCCAACAATGCAATATGTTTTACCTTTGTGTTAATTCACTCCCCCTTCAGCTCTACTAATATTCCTAATGCTGGCTATGTGCCACCCAGAAAGTTTAAGCAGCAGTTAAAATACATATGTCTGGAAAATGAAGTAGAAAAACTAATTTCCTGAGACAATGCCAGACACTTAAACACATTTAAAATGATTATGCTTTAGGTTTTTTTAATATAGAGATTGGATGTCAAAGACCAGAATTTTTATAAGTATTAATAAGGTCTGTGAAAGGTGGAGGGAATTCAATTATTATTCTCCACTGATCCGTTTGAATACTCCTCCACAAAGTGTTTCGAAACCACGGGAACGCGGTTTTGAACAATCTTACTTACACTGAGCTATATCAGAGAGATGCTTATTTGCATGTTTACGAGGCTTTTATAGGTATGGATGGAAATACACTAGCCCAGTGATTCTCCAATGTGTGTGTGTGTGTGTGTGTGTGTGTGTGTGTGTGTGTAGGAAGGTATTTAAAATAAAAGTTCCTAAGGTTCTGATTTAGCAGAACTTAGAAATCTGAATTTCAAAATTTTAATGTAGGTGGTTTAGATGTACATATTCTGCAGACCAATCTTTTACAAACACTGATATATTGTTAACTTTCTGAATCTCAGTTTTGTCATCTGCACAATGAGGCTATTCAACAGAACTATTTCTATCCCCCCCTCCTAGCTGTTAAAAAAAGTCAAGGACTAAGGAATACTATATTATACATTAAAGTCATTGATTCAAAATTAGATCTAAGGATGTATTATAGAACCATACACTTGCCATTTGCTACTAAAATATATTAAATTCAAAATGGCAGAATTTTGCAGGCCATGGAGAAACTTCAGTGTATTTTGAAATGCTCTTTAAAAAGATGTTACTGAAATGCACTAACACATAAAAAGTGGGCTATTTACAGAATAAACCACTTTCTGCTTACATGACAAATGTGAGGAAAAATCTAAATGGATAAAAATACAACGTGAAAAATTAAGCAGCTCAAAGAGCATGAATAAAGCTAACCTTTAAGGTTGTAATTTCCACATTTTTCTTTTATGCATAAAATCATTCTAAATACGAATGGACACCAATCATGGACATTTGCATCTTTAATTCTGAAGAAATTTCAGAATAGAGAAAGTTAAATAGAGAGAGACAGCCCTTTGGCCTGTATATTTATCATTTTCATTTACACCACAAAGTACATTATGATCCACAATTTTCTAAAAATAAACTAGCTATGGAGACTTAAAGATAATATTTAGTCTGTTTGAACCCATGTTACCTGTCCACCTTGTCCAATACCGAGGGGCTTATCATAGAGGGTGTGTGTGTGGTATATGAATTAAACAAGAAAAATCTATCAAAAGCATCCTCTTAATAGTAGGTACCCAACAAAGCCAGTTGCTTTTTCTATATTTCCCCCTTTCTTCTATTTCTCTCACTTTCTATTTCAGAAATTCCATGCATTTGATTATAAAATAATTATCTCATCACTACCATTTCTCTTTTATTGTTGCCATAAAATGCTATTTAGAACATGAGGTACTTTTAGTTCTAAATAGGTAAAAAAAAGAGTATATTTTTATTTTTTTTTAAACTTATGTATATATCAATTTTCTATAAGATATATGTGTGGTCTTGTAATTTATATTTTAAAAACTATTTTGTAAAACTATATATAATTTTTAAAATAAGAATCAAATTAGGAATTAGATATTCTAAATGGAACAGATAAAACTAATCTTTAATACCAAAATCTTCAATAAACAATAGGAATGTGCTTAACCAACACATTTAACCAAAAACAATTTAAAAGAAAAATAAAATGTTTTAGTACAGGCTCAATGGGTTTTATAAACAAAGCAATGTTTATTATAAAGAAATCTAGACTTGTGGGGCAGAACCAGCTGGAGAATAAGGGTTAGTCAGGCAAACATTTTCCTACCTGAGGAGTCTCCAAACCAAAGCATTTTCCTACCTATGTGATTACTAGATTATAACACTGAAGAGTCCCTCCCCAAGCAGCTACCTTTTCAAATAATGTTCTGCACATACTGTGCAAAAACTAGTGCTATTTTTCCAAAACCAAAATGTCTCCTAATTCAGAAGCACACTTTAAAGATCTTTAAATGATAGTTTGGGGCATATACAAGGAAAGCATTTTTTTCTGAGCTTGAAGTTTGTCTACGATCTTTGAATTACTAGTCAAATCCAGGTGGGTAAAATCTATGATTGCTATGAGTCTGATTTGACAATTGAAACATCTGTGTAACACAGCAGTAAATTAGAATCTCCATCACGTGTCCTCCCCTCCTCCCACAAACATGTGTGGTGGGCTTAATGTTCATGATACCTTTTCTCACGTTTCTGACTAAATGTGTGTGCACATGTGCACTCACACACACATGCACACCTCAGTCCATGCATAAATAACATATATTTGCCTATCTTTGAATTATATATATATATATAAAAATATATAAATATAAAATATTTAATATAAATATAAATATAAATATATATATTTATATAAATATATATATAAATAGCAAATACTTGCCTGGTTTTGAATAGCAAATACTTTGCCTGTGATATATGATATTATTTATATAAATAATATCATATATCACATATTCTTCTGTAACTTGTTCAGTTTGATGAGTATTTCTGTGGTGTAATTGCATGCTATTTGTATTTAGGCTTGTTATGGAACTCATAAAACAGCACCACTAATGCACCTGTCTTCCACTGAAACTGGTTACAAACACAGCTTCCTTTAGGCAGTGCTGGGAATGTGCAGTAATAGGGTATTCGCATAAGCCTGTCAGTAATCCATCTTTACTGATACACATATCATTCCCTGATAGCAAAGAATTAGCAATGCAATACAGAAAAAATACACCCTGATCATGAGGCTAAAAAGTTTTCCTGTGACCAAATGGAATCATTTATATCTACGAAGATTTTCAGTTTTCCCTGATTCTTTAGTCAATATTAAGAAGTAAAACAGTAAATGGTGGGCTCTAACTATTTATATATAAGCCACAAATGCTAATGCTTCTTATCTTCTAAGAATGGAAAACACAAGATGTAGTTTTAACCCTAACTATGTCAGACATGTCATTTTAGGGTGACTTTGAAGAAGCTGGTCCCTGACTTCTTCTATTTCTACCCCAGGCTTTCTGACATCGGTCAAAAAATAGGTACGATAAAAATATAAGTATCATTTTCTTCACTTTAGTGTGACATACCATTGGTGTAAAACACTGACTAATGCACATTCTTGATTCAAAATTAGTCCATAGGATTATCTAAAATGTGATCCAACAAGATTTATAATCTTTCACACATCCTGCTCACTGTGGCTCTTAAATCTCTCTTCTATTTTAATATGAGCCATAAGGTACAAGATTCAGTCATATTTGCTAAATCAGAGGAAATATATTTGTTTATATTTAAGTAACAATTGGAAAAATGAAAATTTATGTAAATCCTTCCCCATTTCTTCTTATGCTTAACACACATTATTTTTAAGGTTCACTTATAATAATGCAAAATAAGTTCAAATCATAGGTTAAAGTGCTATAATACTTAACTGTAAAAATGATTATGAGTTTACTGTTGGAAGAAATTTAAGGTATGTTTAGCAATATAATACCAGAGTATTAATCTACATAAGCCCCTGTTTTCCAATTCATTTATTTTCTTATTTAGTTTTTAAATAAAAACTATAATGGACTCATAATATTAAAAAATTTAAAAAATTAAAATAATATAGTAAGGAATAAAACATGTTTTGCTCATATCCCTTGTCTACCTCATATTTATATTTACATTGCCCTATAATTTATAATTTTAAGAGTTTTTAGAATTCATTCAATATTTCTTTAGGAAGATACAATCATATAACCGTATGTTTATATGTGTATAAACATACACATATTTATATTCTTATTGCCCTCAGAGTGTTAAGCAACTTGCCTGTGGATACTAAAACTAATAAGTTACAGAGCTGAATTAAAACTTGGGCCATCTGATTTCAAAGTCCAGATGTTTCATCATTATAGCACTTTTTTGGCCCATAATGACAGGATGATTTTTTCCTGTTGAACATATTTTTCCAGCAACCTTAGTCTTCTCCTTTTTAATCATATACTTTTAATTATGGAAATCTTCCCATTCATGCAGACGTATCAGTGGCATCTAGCATCATGATTCTATTATAGCACACAAACTGTTTACCGGTCTTCAACATCACACTTTCTTCCTTTGGGAAATTCGTTCGCAAATATTCCTCTTTCTGCTTCAGAAAGTGGAATCTCTGGTGTAGCCCAGAACCCTGCACCTGTGCTGCTCCAGCGCTTACCTTTCCTTTGCTGATGATAAAGAAGGTGTCCCCTCTTGCACCTTGCCTGATGATATATTCCCCATTTTCATAGTGGGTCTGAAAAACAGAAACAGCAGCAGGAAAAAAACACATTAAGGAAGAAACAATTCACCAAACAACTCAACCTCTTCCAATATCAGCTCCCCAAGGATGCATTCCTCCTCATGGAGTTTTACACAAAGCTAGAATCCATCATGGTTTAAGGATGACTAATAGTCAGTGAACATAATAACTTCAGAGAAGTCATTTCTATCATGCTCATTTTTAAAAGTATTTTGTTAATATCATTTTTTTTCTGGATGATTACACTCATATCTTTAAATCTATTCATTTTAATAGTTTGATGAAAATATTCTTTTCTCCCATCAACTGAGCATAAAATAAAACAGCAGAGCTGCTAATTAAACTGGTCATCTGTATTATTTTATTTGTTGCTCTCATTTAGCTTTAGTATTCTCATAACAATAACCTTTTTTTTTTTCTGAGAAATTACTGTGGCATCGAAAGATCTTCATTTTGAAGGCATGTTGACTTTTAGTGTGGGTTTGATGGCTCCAGTTAATTTTTAAGGGACAGCTTCATGCTTTACTGTCCTTGCTTCAGCAATTTTGATTTAGCTCTGTCAAACAGAATGTCTTAATTTTATGGACTGAAGTCTGGTCCAGCATCTGTGAGCTCATAAACTACCAAATGAGGAGCTAAGTAAGACTGCAAGAAGACGATCACAGTCAGTGTGTCAGTATTCTGACCCCGACACAGTCACTAGGTTCATTCCCAGGGTTAAGATAATTCCTGAAACAGGCAAAAGTAATTTCTATAAGAAGTGGGAGGAAATGTACTGCTGGGTCAGGAGGTATAACAGGGAAATGAGAACGGTGCCATCTGCTTATCCTTCTCTGCAGCTTAGCAAGGGAGCCATATTTAGGGAAGGGAAATATGACTTTGTACACTCCTTAGGAAAGAGATGGCATGCTTTGCATGTGTCTTGGCTGTGATTTGTCTTTAACTTCAATACCATGTTTCTGAATACTTTAGTCTTTTTACTCTTAAAATTGCCTTTCATTAATACTTGACATGAAGAATAGCCATAATTTTCTTAGCATATCTAGAAATCTGGGGGTTAAATCATGACACCAGACCCTGGACTCCCTCCTGTCCTCACAGCTCTGTTGCACATTAGCTTCTCATGAGGGTCCAGGGCATGCCAAGAGGACAGTGGGCTTCCCTCATGTTCAGACCAGCTGGCTCTTTTGTGATTTTAGTTCCTTCATCCCAGAGAGTAGAAAGTTTGACAGGAATATCCATACTCTGTTTATTAACTCATGCAAATTATCTGATCACCTTCTTAACATCCTATGATATGGTTGTATAACTTGATACTCACAATTACCATATCAGTTATTTTAGCAAACCTATACATGTATTCACTGTTCATATTTCCATGCTGCATAAGCTCATAAAACTCAGGGGTCCAGAGAAGAGCCTATGGAACAATGGGCAAAAGCAGTCCAAGCCTGGGAAAGATAATATTGATGGTATTATAGGGTCATAATGACTGTGCTACCCTGAAACGTTCACTTACACCTGAGGGGGAGATGATCACGCATGCTGATTCTTCAAGAGTCTCTATAATTATGTTACTCAAATGCCAGCAGTTTCACTGTTTTTTGAAGGTCACTTTGAAGCGTTACCATTTTCTTATTTCAAATTAAAGAAAAGAAAAACACAGAATTTACAATGGGAAGAAACCTTAGCAACTCTTAGGTTCCTTTAAAGGCTTTCATAGTTATTAGGATAAAAGCTAAACTTAACACGGCCTATAAGACTGCAGTTAGTGTGTTCAATGCCACCCTTTTCAACCTCTTATCGCTCTCCCCTGCTTTGCTGTTCAGCCCCTCTGGCCACCTTTAGGTCCGTTTCTCAACTATGCCACACTCCCTTCTCACCTCCAGGCCTAAGCACTCCCGCTGCTGCACACACACACCCTCTGTGTCTTGCCTCGTTACATCCTACTTCTCTCTCAGATCTTAGCCTTCCCTGACAGGGCATATTCTCCCACCCTCAGGCCCCTCACCCTGGCTAAATTAGATGTCTCCATTATATGATTTTACAATACCACATAGCTTTATTTCATTGCCTTTTTCTGAGCTTAGAGTTATGTATTTATTCATATGATCATTTTACTGATGTTTCCCAGCAGATTTTAAGCTCTACTGAAGGCAAGGATTGTGCCTAGTTTTGTTCCCTATGATATCCTCAGTGTCTAACACAGGGCCTGGAACAGCACAGGAAGTCAAGAATCTTAACTGCATGAAAGAAGCAATCCTTAATCTTTGTCTTTCTGGCATTGCCCCAGTCAACCCATTAGAAAGGCCTCTCCCTTTAAGACATGTGCCAAGCCCAGTTGCCCATCACTATCTCCACAGTTGACTCTCTAACCCAAGCTCTATAACAGCCTGACTGCATGGATGAGACAGACATCGTGGAAACAGAATATCGGGCAGGTCTAAGCCATGTCCTGACCAGAAATGTATGGTCAGAACCCAATGACACCCTGACTGGGAAGTCACCTTTGCCTTGACAAGGATAAGTGTAAAATCCCTAGGACACAAAGTCCTGGGACTGTGTAACCTTATCTTAGAAAATTAATTTATGACTTATACCAGAATGTATCAAGCTGATAGGCTGCCCGAGAGTCAGGCTCAAGATCCTGTGCAGTGCAGTGAGCCCAGATGTAGCTTCTCCAGGGAACAAATGGGACTTTAGTCCCATGATAAAAGGAATTACTGGCCGCTTTGCATCTTCCTAGGGTCCAAGAAACTAAGAAAAGCCATCATCCCAACCGCTGTGTCCCTTGCTTAGTGTAATCCGTTAAAGACATCATAAAATCTGTTTAGTGAATCACAAGCAGTATTTTAAATGTAATAAAACAGAAAATATCAAAAGTATTAAACACAGTAAGGATAAATATAATTTATAAAAGTTGTGTGTGTGTGTGTGTGGTGTGTATGTGTGTGAATATCTATGTGCATACTAGGCCCCAATGTAAAATGTATCCTTCACTACATAAATACTAGTTTGAAGAAATAAGTATCTTTCTTTCTTTACAAAACTTATGACATCTTCAGAACACGGAAGTATCCTTATCTCTACACGAAATCACCTTTAGAAATTTTATCATTAATAAAAACACTAGTATTGGATGTTATTTCACTTTTGAAAGGTATGTATAATTTGAAAATACTGGCTCTTTCTTAAAAGGGTGTGTAACCTCCATTTAAGTAAGTGACACTGACTCAGTTCACCACTTTGGTCCCTCACCTGGCTTTGGGTCCCCTCCCCTCAGCCTCCCAACCATCTGTCCCGCTGGAGGACAGAGTGCAATCATTCACGTTTGCGTTGCTGTACGTCCAAGTACTCAGGGTTCTTAACAAACTAACACTTCTCATAGTGCAATAAAACTATAGGGGATATTGGTCAACTGATACTGAATTCTGGT